CTCAAAGGTTTTATACTAGTTGTTATACTTAAAATCTATTTATAGTTTTTTATTTAAATACTTTACTTTCTGTACCTATCTATATATTTATACCTATCAACTGCTTTAGTTATTATTAGTTCAAATATATTATGATTACTAAGTTTTTAAAACAGTTTACTTATATAAACCCTTTTGAAATTTTTTATATTTTATTTCATAATCAATTTAGTAATATTATAATTAGAATCAATATATATTTCAGTTAGAACTAGTTATTAAATTACTATACTCTTATAAAGTTTATATAATTCTAATATTTCTTTTTACAATCTTATCAATATTTTGTATATTCTTGCAAATTCTTCTATACTACCAATTTAATTAACTTTATATAATACAACTTTATGTTTAAACTAATCAGTAATCAGGTTAATAAACTTCTTTTATTCAAGAGTTCTTGTTTGTACAAATCATATATTCTAGATTTTCTTTTTCAGATCAAGATCAAAATCTTCATAAGTAATATATATTATCAAAAATATATATTATCAAAAATTATACTACCTCTTTACTCAGGATTTTCAAACAAACTTCTTATTCAAGTATATATATTTTCAATATTTTTAAATTTATTTATATATAATATTGCACATGTTCAAAATTAGTCTTGGTATAATCAAAATTACAGTTATCAGCCTCAGTTCATGAATAAGTTGTTAGAATAAGATAAATTTTTCCAAATTTTGCCATTGATAGAATTTGTACTTTGAACCTACTGCTTAGAAGATGACAACCCAACCATTACACTAGAATCGCCATCCTTAATTTAATTATTTTTTAATTATTAACTTATATATATATATGTAACTAAAAACTAAAAATTATTTTTAATTTTTAAGTTTAATATATTTAAATGCTAATATAATCGATACTGTTTAAATGCGTACTATCAAAAAAGACATTTAATTTTATGTATTTATATTATTATTATATATACTAGCCAATTAAATATCAGAAAATTAACTGTCTAAATGCATTAAATTTTTTTAAAAAATTATGTATGCAGTATGCATTTCGACAGTGTCGACTGTTATTTCAAGGAAAAAAAAATTATGATGAAAGTTTTCGAACATATTTAAGTATCGATTTCATGTAAACATCTGGATTTTTTTGTTCACTACCCCCCAAAAAACGACATTATCAGCATTAAACAGGTAAGCATTTGTGTCACATATGTCTGGGAGATTTCTTGGCTTATAAGATATTGGTAACTAAGGTCAACGAATATTGTTTACATAAAAGGTTGTCAATCCCGATAGACTAGATGTTTTTAATGGAGTCTGCATCTTCATTTAACAACTTGCTAATTTTTTAATTTTAGAATTTCTACCAGCTGTGAAGATTTGATGATAGCATTAGTGAGCAAAATTTTGTGAATTTTTTTTATTAGTGCGCAGAAAGTAATTTCTTAGGTGAAATTTTGAGATTGTTTGATTCTTATGGTATACACGATCTTGTTTCTTGGGGAATTAGTTTTAACCACAACTTTTAGTTACATAAAATGTAACATAAATTTGGTCAAAATAACTAGTACGTATGTACTTACATGCTTGCATTTTACCGATTACCCAGCGGCATTCCTGCTTTTAAGATTTGCCAAGAATCCTTTTAAAAAACGCCTTTACTATATAAATATTAGCGTATCTCATTTGATGTGATAATTACATAACAATAAAATATTGTATAATTATTCACTAATCACGATTAATTGCGATTGCAATCCTTTAACAGTTTCTTTGAAAATTTGTTGGCAGTATAGATGATCACACTTTATAATCAATTGATTAATAATACATTTTATTAAAGGGAAATCTATTGTATACTACAAGAGAGCCAATTCATTGTATTTATTTTAAATTTCAGCCAATCAAGGTAACTGACTATTTTTTCAGCTAATTAGATCATTCAATAATCCCATTGAAGTAGGCTCTTAAGAACGGCTAAAGTCACATAATATCAATGGTTTCCAATTTTATTAACGTTAATATAACGGTAAAATCTAATAGTATATCACATTAGAAAAATTGTACCATAGTGATTTATTTTTTATAGGCCGGCATCAAGAAATACAGCCATAGCAAAAATCATCAGCCGGAAATTTTTACTTAATGATTTACTATAGTAAAAATTCAAGTGATTTTCGGCTAAACTTGAGTGACGGAAAGGAAGACCTGCAAATTGATCCACTTACTTTCACTTTATTGGATTCAGCCCTTGAATAATCTGATTCGGTGTGATTAGTTCTAGAACACATTTATAGTTTCTAATGTTTTTTTTAGAGCCGCCAGATCATATAATTTCTCCGTAAAAATTTTTTTTGTCCATTTAATGCCAAACGCATTTTATCGAAACGACTAGAATGATCAACATTATAATTCTGAGGGACGAATGTGAATTTTCGTCTATTATTGCGAGCGTTACCAACCTAACAAATTTCGCTGTTAATTATGGATAGGTTTTACTATTAAGTTAGGTTAGAAAGAGCTTTAGTAGTACCAAAATTTCGTAAGGAGAACTTTTTGTTAGTGTGCAGAAGGTTGGTTTCATAAGTAATTGGATTTGTTGTGTTTTTTTCTGCGTCGCACCTGATATTGAAATATGATTGGCCAGCGAAATTTTTAGGTTGGTACGTAACACTATTCATCAATTTACGGGGGCTGAGTCCGTGAATCAAATTTACAGATTTTCCCTTCCGTCACTCATTTGCTAATTCCGACCTAACCGACCGATCACGATTCCTGTACAAGTTAGTGATTTGTGAAAGATGTCACTTGTAACATCGTAAAGGGGTTAAAGATTTCCTATTTAGTGATTCTCATTTCAAAAATGTTAGGATTAATTATTAATATATCGACATTGATACCTCAAAATAAATTCACGTGCAGTCTTGGCGTGGTACCACGACGTACTTTCGTAAGTGCGCACATACATACCTTAATAGTCATGTAAACCTCTCAATTAAGCCATTGCAAATTTCCGAATTAAATTCTTGGCAGTGCTTGGCATTTAATCTTGGTTATTTTTATTAAACCTGATAAATACTTTTCTTGGCCGCTTATCCCTCCTTATTATTCATAGTTATTTCGTTGGTCAGATAGTGTTGTATTTCTTTAAAAATTAAGATTTCTCAAAAAATTATATATTTAACGACTTTCCGAGTTTTTACAAGGTAAGGTCATTATTCAATTAATAAGATTAACAACAAATATTTGACACCTTAGCACTTTAACTAATAATATATTTAAATATCTATTTAAAAGTACAAAATTTAAAAAATTTATCATGACATCCCCACTATTGGTGTTCTCATCATCGATGCCAACAACGGTTCCTTCAATAATCTTTGGAATCCTATTCTTTCTGACATCTATACTTTATTTGTATCGAATAATACAATATCGACAGAAATTATATGTATATTTATTTACATTCAGTTGTTCTCGCACAATAGTATTTTTCATTCGCACTGCATGGTCACTCAATATAGATGTCGATGAATTAGGCCTGGTCTCAGGATTTATCCTGTGCGGGTTTGAATTTTTCATAATGATGGGAATATATACTTTACTCACCGACTGGATTTGCTTAGTTACAAAATCGTCAGTATCATCAGATTCATCAAATAGAAAAACGAGATTATTTTTGGAGCTTCTTTTAATTAACGTGACGAAATTTGTCTTACCAGTTTGCGGAGTTTTTGGAGCTGTTCAGGTCATCCAAGAATATAATGAATCAAATAATGTCACAGATGACAATACTAGTAGCAATATTTTGCGTAAAATATCAAACTTAGGATTTTTAATATGCTTAAGCTTATATATGATATATGTAACTTATTTCGCGGTGGTTTATGTTGGAAAACCTATTGGTCAACAACTTCAAGTTTTGCTGTTATATACCAGTGGATCTTTGCTATTCATCGAATTGGTATATAGAACATTTATTACCTTTGCTCAAGCTACAGATTCTACAAACAGATACGAATGGATGATTTATGTATTTGAGGCTATACCTGAATTAGTATTATTAGCCATTTTGGGTGGTATCATTTTGGGCGATTGGTTTTATAAAGATATTCCAGAAATGAACCGTGATTCAAAGATAAATGACCCGGAAATGTTTCCAAGTACAAAAATAATTGATGCGTGAAGTTTTGGGCTTTGATATCTTTATGATAAATAGACCATTAAAAAATTACTATAGAAGAACATCCTGTGTGTCGTTTTGTAAAAAAGTAGCAATGTATATGACAATATTCTAATCAATAACACTTAATCAACAAACCACAACCCGGAATAATAAAAATTCTTACACATATGTATAATCAAAGAGCATGTATTTAATAGTATTATAAGATATTTTTATATTGTATTTTTTTTCTTTAGAGGAAAAAAAAAACAGAAAATTTCAAATATAATTCCTTTTTCGATGGATATATCAAATTAGTTTTGTACATGCAGGAAGTAAGGGCAATCATTTATAGAAATGAGAAGGTCGAGGAAAAAACGTGATTCTTGAGAATGCTGTTCTGGCGGTAGTTTTTTAGGTGTTATGCAGATAGTTTCATGGCATCTCGAGTTTTGCAATCAAACGAAGTATTCCAAAAGGAATTACTTTAAACCTTCATTTCTCGAATTCTTAGAGTCAAAATCAAAAGAACTATTGCTGGTCAGGAAATTAATCTTTAAATATAGCTATAATACTTCATATAAGTATATTAGAATGGCGTATTTAATATTTGATATACAACCTGTATATAAACAACTAATTAATTCTGGTTAATTTCACTTTGATTCTTTCATGTATAAGAGCTTTAAATTCATGTTACTCTAATAAACATTGTTCACAAAAAATAAATTGATTTTAACTCTATACATATATGTATTTATTTAATTTCGGCCTAAAGATCGATTTTAAAATAAAAGGTTGTTATTAGAATACCTTGTTTTTGCAATATTCTAATAATTCCACCCTTCTTCTTCGTAATTTTCGAGCAATTCTGAATCATCCTTGTAAATTTTTGTCCATCCTTCCATCCCACTCTTCAAGATGTGAACTTCTTGGTCGGTATTTACCTTGTTGGCATAGGTCATTGCGCACGATGGACCTCGCACTCGTGATTGCCAGCATGTGAATATAATTTTAGGGACTTTTTTTTTATTCAAAAATTTAAACTTAGTAGGTCTAGAAAAAAATTTTTAATTTGTATTTAATAGGCCAAACCATCCCCTGTAGAATTTTGCAGGTTTGTACTTGGGCATTTAACATTATCGTTATATTGGTGCAATTTTAACTTATATCATGTACAATTTATGCTAACATTGTATTGATAACAATAAATCACTATCAATATTAAAAATATCTAGAAAAAAGCTGATGGCTATTTTATACATGGGGTGGTTTGACCCGTGAAATACGGTAGGGTTCTACAAATTTCAAATGCCGAGCATGGTACTATGAAAACATAGTGCCCAGGGCTCTATGTTTTAATAGTACGTATCAGGCTCAGCTAGGAACGATACCGATACCTTGACTGTATTCAGATATCAAGGCACCGAGGCTGTTTTCAAAATTATCAGATGGTCTGTTGATGCAGTTTGGTATATTTCCTCCCTGTACCAAGTAAATTGATTTAACAGTTATAAACAATAAATTCTTGAACCCATTTAACCCATTTTTACCTGATAATCATCATCTCGAACATCAACAATCAAATAATCTTTTCCTGGAATCTTGGTTTTATTCTTAATTATGTCTCGTAATTCTTCAGCTTGAATATATGATGGTTTCGGCATTTTGTTCTTTTCAGTAAAACTTCGATTTATAAGAGAATAATTTAGAATGAGAAATTTAATCCTCTTTAAATTAATATAACAGTGTAAATCCTTGTTTTTTAACGATCGTGAAAAAAATAGAAACATTATTGGTCGAAAATCGGTTAAATTACGCAATATCATTTGTGATACAATTAAATATATTATATAGATAACAAGGAAGAATTTAATTAGTCATGTATATAGAATATTTTAACTCTGATTGGTCTACAATCCAGTTTAGTACCGTTTTGTCTAAAAACTGGTTTGAACCTGTTTAGACCACTTGAATTGCTTTATTAAGTCTGATAACAAAAAGTTAACTAGCGCCAGATCTAAAAAAATATGAACAAAGAGCAGATATGCTAATCATCACTATGATTTTATTAGTGTTCTAACCTTTAAATAGAGTACCTTCGTGCAATGGGATAAGTTGTTAAAATTATTGATCCGAAATATACACGACAGATAGGTTACATAACTTCAACTACACAATTATAGTAATCAGAATTGTCAGTTGAAAATCAACTGGCTGACTAATCGATTTGAAGATTTTAACCAACTAATCGTTAATTGATCTATCGCTATTACAGTCGAACCTCTTTATAGTCAATTTTTGTAAATTTACTTGTGATTAGAGATGGGACACTGCGCATTTTTTGAGGCTGCGCATTGCAATTTTCATAATTCTGGCCAGCTTTATAATCCAGGTTTGAATTACCAATCGGAAATCGGTTCGGATCGGCCCGAAAGTAAAACGGATCTGCATTGCCTGATTAATAGAATCCATCATTCATAATTCTGGTCAAACTTGCAGATCATTTGACCACATTTAAAGTTGTTTTGTT